ATGCCAGAGCTGCTACAGCCCTTGGCGACCACAGCAGGGTCCCCAGGGGCGCCTGTGACCCTATCTGTCCTCAGCTCCTGCCTGTATCACTGCGCAGGGGCGTGGGCTGGCAGGACACCCGTCCCCACCGAGGGCATGGCGGTGCAGAGCCGCTCTCTGTGTGGTCCTTGCCCCACTCCCAGTGGGGCCATTGCAGCCCCTGCCAGCCCCTCTGCCGGACATCCCCGCAGCTGACTTGCTCCCGTTCTCCATCCCAGCGCTCCCCAGCCTGTGCCGTGGGCAGGCATGTCCTTCTGTGCTGTGCACGAGCTCTCCCCAGCCTCCGGGCACCTTGGCTCCCTGCAGTCCTGGCTCTGCCCTGCATTCAGTCTGTCCCTCCCGAAGGATGGTGGCCAGAGCAGGAGGGGCTGTTTGAGACATCAGTTACTCTAGATTTGTTCACCTTACAGGGCGTTCTGCTCTTAGCCTGGCTGACTGTGTAGGTCTGCCCCCTCTCCAGTGTCCTCCAGCAGAAGGTCCCTGATCTGTCTTGCTCCTACCCTGAGTGCAGGAGGTATCTGATGTGCTGTATGGGGAGGAAGTTGTCTCCCCAGGGCTGTTTATAGAAGTGATGGTATCAGCTGCAGTCTGGTAATGGCACTTTCTGCAGCACTTTACCAAAACAGAAGTGGAAATTGAGCTGCTCTTGCAGAGGTGTCTGGCTCGTCCACAGGGTCTGTGCCAGCGGCAGGACGAGAGCTACATGGTGCGAGGAGCAGGCAGCTGCACCCACAGGTCCCTGGGCAGTGATAGGTTGGCTGTGCTTGTGTTTGGCAGCATTGACCCGCAAAAGGAAGTCTGGCCCCAGAGGCTTTTGCAGCAACCCCAGAGACTGCTGCTGCGTGTGAGAGCACCAGCGAGGTGGAAAATCTCACCTGTATTCAGGGGCTGAGGTTCAGGAAGGGTGTGGGCATCTGCTGGTGGGAACCCGCATATGTGCGTTCAGGCCTGAGGCACACAGCCTTGGTGCAAGTCTTCTTTTTGTAACAGTCAGGCTGGTAAGGCAAATGCTTTGCTTACTATTGGTAGCCAAACTGCTGCTTCTGGCCTTTCTCCTCTGGAAAGCTGTGTTCCTCCATCGTGTATCTCCCGCCTCTGGATCGCTTCTCTTTTGCCTGACTAATGCTGACTTACCCAAG